GCGGTAGGTTGGGGCACGCACGGCAGCAAACGAATGCACTGGCCGGGCTTCTGCCAAAATCGACAAGGCAACCACCCATTATTCAGCGGCGGCTGCTGACAACGCAATGGAGGATTGGCCCATGCCGCACGTGATGACATCAGCTGAGAGCCCCCCACCCTGCCCGCGAGACCGCCGCACCTGGCGGTCGCTGGTGCTGCTGCTACTGACGCCGACGCTTTGCTCTCCCTGCTTTTTCGGCGCTTGCAAGCGCTGCGCCTGATTCAATTCCTCCTTTTGCTGCTTCTGCTGCGCGCGGCAGGTGAACACCCTCCTCCTGCTGAGACTGTGAGAGGATGCCGCTCCAAACGCAGGGCAGCGCAGTGCTCCAGAGCTGACGCGTGGCGCACCGGCCGTGCCGGGCCGCATGCATTGGGGTTGCTGCATGGGACAAGCTCAGGTGTTGCAGGTTCCAGATAGCATGCAAAACAAGTGATTGGGCTCCTGCAGGCAACTCTGGTAAATTGAAGTGACGCTGGTTGGAACAGGTGTTGAGGAAAGGAACGCGACAGGATGAACGATAACACATTTTACAGCTTAGCGAAACAATTGATGAACTCACGGCAACGGACAAGATAATTTTTAGATCATTCGTGCAGTCACTGTCGACACCAGGGGCATCTGCATCGGCCAGCATGGAGGCGGAAGCAGCCTCCACAAGCGGTGGTGCTCCCAGCACAAGCGCACCGCCCCCTGCTAAGCCTGTCGTGATCCTTGTGATTGGTGCGCCGACAGCGGCGGCAGCGGTGCCCCTCACTGCCTGTCGTCAACAGTTCTGCTTGCAGCAATACTGCAGATGAGGAGTGCCACACTTCATGCGGAATATAGCAGCGCGCCCTGCATGCAGACGATTGTGCACGCGGGCCTCAGGCCGATCAAGGAAACAGGCGAGCACAGCACACTGGGCGCATGACCTGTGCTCACTCCTCACGGCCGCCCTCCCAGGGATGGCTGGTTCAGGCAAGACGACGCTGATCCAGCGCATCAACAGCCACCTCCACACACGCGGCCAGCCCGGTTATATAATCAACCTCGACCCCGCAGTGGCGCAGCTGCCCTACAGCGCAAACATCGACATACGTGACACGGTGGGCGGGCCGCTGCGGCGGCGGTCGAAGCGGCAGCAGCAGCAGCAGCAGCAGCAGCAGCACGGGCGGGCAGGAAGCCTGGCGCAGGGGGCCCTTGCGGCGTGGAGGCCTTGACAGTGCACTCCCTGGCTGCTGGGACGCACCACCATGCGCACTCTGCTTGCACTCCATTCCGGAGATGTTTCAAACAAACACTCCGCAGGCCCCACTATTGTGAATTTTGCTGTGCCGTTAAACAACCCCCCAACTTGCTTCCAGGTGAACTACAAGGCCGTCATGAAGCAATATGGCCTCGGACCCAACGGCGGCATCCTCACGGCCTGCAACCTCTTTGCCACGCGCTTTGACCAGGCGAGCAGCCGCGGCGCAATCGCGGACGCATGTGCATGCACAAACACACACACACACACACACACA